AAAAAAGCAGGCAAACATCATCAGCAAAAACATTTAGGAAACAAAGAAAATGAAACGAAACCAAACATGCTTGGAACCCAGGACTTAGACATTATCTTTAAGATCTGACCACGAAACGTTCTTAACAAAAAAGGGCTTGGTAAACCAAGGATTTAGAGACAATAGGGTTGAGGCTGGGCTCCATGGCTTACCAGCTTTAAATCACGTAACTGAAATTAAGGATCTCTGATTTATAAAGGATGAACGTTAGGAATCTGCCTTGCTTATTATATAATCATTGATGTCTGATTGAGACACTATGCTGTGAAGTAATCTGGTGAAATAAAAAGAATTTTAAGCATTTCAGTATATTTTGTCTTCAATGTATATTTTTGTGTCAGCACTCAATAAAGGAAAGGAAAAAAAAGAAATGCTAGTGTGATGAGGAGTCTGTCTTTCAATTTAATTAAAAAACTACTTTAAAAATTTAGACTTGAAAAGGATCCAAAAGCACCAAACTTCTGAGGATTACTGACTTGATACTAATTGTTAATATCTCCTGTATTTTAGCTTAATTAGATTCAAACTAAGGCCAGCAAAGCAGTACAAAAACCAAAACAAACGGGTGAATCCTGGCCACCTAGGAGTTAACACAGCCACGATGTCTAGACTGCAACACACATGATGTTTCTGTATGCAGTCCATTCCAACTCACACCAAGGGGGAAAAGCTCAAACCTGCTGCCAATTAGTCAATTTCAACTCATAGCGACCCTATTATAGGATAGAGTAGAACTGCCCCATAGGACTTCCAATGCTGTAATCTTTATGGAAGCAGACTGTCACATCTTTCTCCTGTGGAGCACTGGGGGGGGGATCAAACCCCAGACGTTGGTTTGCGGCTGAGCGCTTTAACCACTGTGCCACTAGGACTCCTCTCTTCAACTCATAGTGAGCTTATACATAGAGCAGAACTGCCTGTAGGGTTTCCTAGGCTGTCATCTGGTTATTGAAGGTGGCTGGCTTATATGTTTCTGTTACAACTCCCCACGCTTGCATAAATATTTAACTAACATGCTAAAGGAGAACAAGTATTTTAATATACAACTTAAAATTAATTCCAAATTGGGTAACTTAAAACATCCTCTATGTTGAAGCAAGTATTGTGCCAGGCCATTTTATTTCAAGTGTATATCCCAAAGTTTAAGGCATTTCAGTTCTGTCATTCTGTTTCTTGGGTCAAAGAGAGAAGGGGGAGAGATTCTCTAACTCCAAATTCGTTTCTCTAATAGCCAGTGACATAGCAACATACTGGCTGATGGCAATTTTTACCCACCTTTGAATGCTGGGCTGGCAGTTAAAACCCACCAGCCACACCTTGGAAGGAAGGTTGGGCAATCTATTTCCATAGCAATACCACCTCGGAAACCCAAGGAGGGGTCACTATGAGTTGGATCCGACCCGACGGCAGTGAGTTTGGTTTGGTTTGATTAAAGAAATTAACCTTTTTTATTTCACCTCTCCTTAATGAAAATGAGTGTCATCCACAAGTTTTTTTATCTGAAGAAGGTACGCCTAGTACTCTGTTCTGTAATTTTAAAAAGCACTAAAGAGTCAATTTGAAATGACGTTTAAGGCCTTCTGAAGTGGGCTTAACGAAGTCTGCTGTATCCATATCTGTACTAACTGTACAAGCTAAAAGGCTTTCCAAGTTAGTTATAAAAGAAAAGCATTCCAACTACATCCAAAAAATGCTAAGGATATTAAGACAACGGCCTGTAATAAGAAGGAAAACAATATAATATTCTAACAGCTGTCAGCCTAAATAAATGCTTCTAATGGCTCAGAAGGAAGGTTGGGCAATCCTACTTCCGTAGTGATACTGCCTTGGAAACCCAAGGAGGGGTCGCTATGAGTCAGGGCTGACTCGAC